AAATTCCCTTGCCACCAACAAACTTAGACAATTACTATAAGTAAGATGATAGGTCACTGCTTAGCTAGAATTCACAATTCCTTCAATACCCTAGCCTAGCACTCAAACTGTCTGGATTCCAGCCCCAACCTCTCTTTTTCACCCTAAATGCTTCTCCTTATTAACATGGAGCCCACGGCAGCCCTGCGGTGCTGATATTCGATGCCCTTGAAAGTATAAACCGCACGTGTGAGCTGAGAGTGGGCTTTTGAGCCAGACCTGTATTTGATTACCAGCTCAGCCAATTATTAGCTATCCTCTTAATACTTCAGAAAAACTACTTACCTGGCACATAGTTTTTTTTTTTTTTTTTTTTTTTTGGTTTGCTAAATTCCGTTTATTGTGCAAACAAGGCTCAGAAATGTACAGACACAACTTGTGGGCTGAGAGATCTCGGTGGAGCCGTCACTTCATGACTGTACTCCACAAACGCAGCACCGAGGGCAGCTGCCGGGCACGTTAACCTACCAATTTTTTTAGAGAACACAATGAGAATGGACTACACATGGCCTACCTCTCTGAGGGCCAAATTTTTTCTGCTCTAATCTTTAAGAACAAGGGGAGCCTTCACTTGATCTGCCATCTCCTTGCCACTCAGGGCCTCCACGATGGTGAGCGCGAACTCGAAGCTGGTCCCGGGGCCGCGACTCGTGAGGATCAGGCCGTCCTTTTCCACGCGACTCTCAGAGTAGCTGTAATGACTTCCATTCATCATTTTGTCTTTAGCAAGTGGGTGTGTTGTAACTTTACTTCCAAAACCTATTTCATGAGCCAACAGAGCAGTAGGACCTGCGCAGATGGCGGCTATGAGCCCCTTCCTTTCTTCCTGTTCCTTCAGTATCTCTTTCACAGCAGCAGACTCAGATAAATTCTGTGCACCCAGATTCCCTCCTGGCAGGACCACCACGTCATACGGTCCCTGTTTTTTCGCATCTTCAAGACTGGCATCAGGACAAATGACAACATCACGGCTACACTGTACTGGGTCTTTTCCAGCCAGACCTGCAATGGTGACCTTAATCCCAGCTCGTCTCATGACATCTACAGGGATCACTGTCTCCATTTCCTCTGCTCCTTTAGCCAGGATGACCAGGGCTCTTTTGGAGGCCATTTTTATGTTATATTTCCCGACCCACACAGAAGGGGGTCGCACGTTCCCACGCACGCATGCCGCCCGGCCCCTCAGCCGCGCCTGGCACATAGTTTTAACCATATTATATGTTTTTATTAAATTCTAAGAGTAAAATAATTTTA